CCTTTCCAGACTGACTTACAAAGACAGATGCCTTTTTCCAGGGCACTTGACCTGACCCGAGGGGAGCATCAGTCTTATTGCCTGCCTGACCTTTGTGTCACAAGATGGCCTTCCACATTTACCAGAGCCTTGACATATCTGAGGATAATTTTCAAAACTCATTGTAGTCGTCTCAGTCTAGGGGCTGTATTTTTAAGTGTAATCTCTTATGAACCCGTTAAGGAAACTGCACTTTTCTAGAGCAGAAATTGAAGGCAGAAGGACAGTGTGTGCCTTTAATGAATATCTTTTATGGGGTATTTCAGGGATGATTGCAATCTTGATTAAAGTGTGCAACTGCTGTATTGCGAAAATCCAAATGCTTTCATTATGTTTCTATTGGACACTATTTCAATTCAATAGGTCAGTGGCTTCTATTTTTATATCTCATTTCAGATTAGATTATCATATGTCCTCGCCTAATTCTGATCAGACAGAAAGGAAATGAGCCCCCTACAAAGATGTTCTTGTCCTTGGTGATCCAGCAGGGGTCTAATTTTGTCCCCCTGAGAGCAGCAGCCTGTTTCTATTAGATTATGGCCACGGAGCAGATGAGACAGTAGGTGATGTATTATAGAGCATAATTGGAAAATTGCTCATGAACTTAGGAGTTCTTTAACCCAGAATGGCCATATGTTGTTCATCAACCAAAAGGGGCTTTTAATGCACTGATGTTTGTTTCAAACAGAGGAATGTCATGGGAAGAACTCTTGTCTCTTAACTGCCTTGTTTAATGTTGAGGTTTCTTTGAGAAACCTATTTCTGGTAAACCTATTTCAGGCTTGTAACTCAAACTATACTTAGCCTTTATCTTTGCCAGTCCACCCTGGTTTTATTGCTTTTCTTTGAAAGATGTAGCACTGCAAATGATGCCTCGCTTTGGTTAATAAACATTTGACTACCTTACACCGAGCCAGTGGAGGGAATATTACTGTAAGCACCTAGGGGAAGTTTCACTGTTTGTATTTTCTGTTCTGTCTCTATTTCTGTATTATGCTTCGACTGACTTCATGGAATTGCTTCCCACTGGTAACATACATCATCAGGCCCATTAGTGTCAGTGATGAGCTATGTAGGTTATTCCTTCAGTAGACGAGACCGCTCATCTTTCATCTTGTTCTGATTCTGACAGTCATGTGCGGCAGTTATTAGGGCACACAGAAAATCTTTATGTGTGCACACTCCATGAAAATTAACTAGATTACATTTTACTTTTGAGTTTTTGTTGTTTTCTTGAAGTCAAGCCAGCTTATATTATTCTGTGTAGCTCTCCACTGTGCTGGGGGGGAGGAACTGTCTTTTTACAACAGATCAATACATCTGTTCATGTTAGTGGGCCCAGTACTCACCGCCCTGGATGAAAGCTTTTACAAAGCTTTTTGTGGAAAAGGAGATGATGCCTTACCAGCTTAGGGAGAGTGGAATCACTCAGAACAATGGTGTAATTGTGGATCACTGGGGGGAGTCCCTGCCTGTGTGGTTGTGGGCCTGAGCATCTTACTCTTGTCCACTGGTCTAGAGACCCCACAGCAGAGGCCTTTCCCCCCCAGGCATGGATGTGACCTCATTCAACTATCTGGGCTCTAGAATACCCCCACCCTCAAATCACTATACATGCTCACACTGTTTTCCGTTTTTCACTGTGACTGTGGTCTCTATATGGTCGGCTCGCATCATGACTCACAGAACACTGTCCTCTCTCACAGGGTAATTTGACCCATAGCAGGCTTTGTACAGTTCTGATAAAGAAGGAGAGCAGTTTACGATGGGGGAAAGGGTAGTGTGAATGTCAGAAAAACATAAAATGTGGGAAGTTAATTTTCAGATATGATTTAAATTTTAGCTGAAGTAGTGGATTTCCTAGATCATCGTTGATTTATCAAATCAAATCAAATTTTATTTGTATAGCACCAAATCACAACAAAAGTCATCTCAGGACACTTTACAAAGTAAGGTCTAGACCTTACTGTTATCAATATTATTACATAGGGAAAACCCAACAAATCCCCCTTGAGCAAGCACTTGGCGACAGTGGGGAGGAAAAACTCCCGTTAACGGAAGAAACCTCCGACAGACCCCGGCTCTTGGTGGGCGGCCTTCTTCCTCGACCAGTTGGAGTGAGTGGATAGAGGAGAGACAAAACAAACAAACACTGATCAGGTCGATGTGGCTGGTGACTGCTCGTCAGAGACGTAGAGCTCCAGGGCCAGGGCAACCTGTAGAAAGGTACAGGGAGAGAGAGAGGACACACTACGGGAGAGAGGAGACACAAAGTTAGTGATGTGTAATGGTGGCATATAGAAGCATAGGGAGAGAGAGGAGAAGAGAGGAGAGCAGGAGGGGAGGGGAAAGAAACTCAGAGCATCATGGGGCCCCCCAGCAGCCTAGGCCTATAGCAGCATAACTAAGGGAAGGCTCAGGGTCACCTGATCCAGCCCTAACTATAAGCTTTATCAAAAAG